CCACTTTTTCTCAGCTCTCACCGAACGGATTTCTTTCAACGATACGTCAAAAGATCACAAATCGTATCTAGTCGAAGACATTACCCTTCAAAATTGAAAAAAATTCCCTCGTTCCCCGTAAATGAGGTAAACCTCCAAAAAAATTACAAATTTAAAAATCGCTTATTTTCGAAATTTTTTCAATTTTTTTTACTTAAAATTGTAATAACTTTTTTAAAAATAACCAAATCAATATAATTTTTTTTTTATATAAATGCATGATATCATTACCTTTGATTTGGTATATTTTTTTTTTATATGTGACCCTTTACTTGCCCACAGGGGGAGATTTAAAATGACAACTTTTTCACAAAAATTTAATTTTTTCAACTTGACTTTTGAAAATGTTCCGGAAGGTCTGACACTTTTATATATATCTTAAATTAAAGCTAATGTAATATACTTTAATTTGAAAAAAAAAAATTTCGGACTTTATTTTGTCTTCACAGTGAAAATGGCTACCGAATGCTATTTTTGTGTGAAAATTTTCGATTTTGTATTTTCCATTTTTAACTTTATTATGCTATAACTTTTTGAAAAATGTATGAATCATTACAATTTTTTTATGAGAAGTAGTATTTATATAGATCTTTCATTCGACATACTGTTTTTTTTAAATCGGACCGTTTTCCTATATACGAGGGGGGTTCAAATCTAAAAAATGCATGTAGAAAGTAGAACTTTTTCAACTTAACTTTTGATAGTGTTCCGGAAAGTCTGACACTTTTATATATATCTTAAATTAAAGCTAATGTAATTTACTTTATTATGCAAAAAAAAAAATTCGGACTTTATCTTATCTTCATGGTGAAAATGGCTACCGAATGCTATTTTTGTGTGAAAATTTTCGATTTTGTATTTTCCATTTTTAACTTTATTATGCTATAACTTTTTGAAAAATGTATGAATCATTACAATTTTTTTATGAGAAGTAGTATTTATATAGATCTTTCATTCGACATACTGTTTTTTTAAATCGGACCATTTCCCTAAATACAGGGGGGATTCAAAACATAAAAATGCATATAGAAAGTAGAACTTTTTCAACGTAACTTTTGAAAGTGTTCCGGAAGGTCTGACACTTTTATATATATCTTAAATTAAAGCTAATGTAATATACTTTATAATGGTAAAAAAAAATTTCGGACTTTATTTTATCTTCATGGTGAAAACAGACATTAAACTTAATAAAAAAAATACGATTTTTGTAAAAAAATTCTTTTTTATATTTTTAACTTTATAATGCTATAACTTCTCGAAAGATGTATGGATCAATATAATTCTTTTTTTTGTAGATGCATGATGTCTTTACCTATCATTTGGTATATTTTTTTTATAAATCTGACTTTTTACCTGCCTACAGGGGGGGATTCAAAATGACAACTTTTTCACAAAAAATTGACTTTTTCAACTTAAATTTTGAAAGTGTTCCGGAAAGTCTGACACTTTTATATATATCTTAAATTAAAGCTAATGTAATATACTTTATCATGGAAAAAAAAAATTTCGGACTTTATTTTATCTTCAAGGTGAAAATGGCTACCAAATGCTATTATTATGTGAAAATTCTCGACTTTATTTTTTATATTTTTATATTTTTAATTTTATAATGGTATGACATATTGAAAAGTGTATGGATCAACATTATTTTTTTATGAGAAATAATATTTTTTAATAATCCCTTTTTCATTCGACATACTTTATGAAAAAAAGAATTCGGACTTTATTTTGTCTTAACGGTGAAAATGGCTTTTGTGTGAAAATTCTCGATTTTATTTATTACATTTTTAACTTAATAATGCTATAACTTATTGAAAAGTGTATGAATCAACACAATTTTTTTATGAGAAATAATATTTCTTAATAATCCCTTTTTCATTCGACATACTTTATCTTAATCAAGATATTAATAAGGAACTAGCAGAACATGTAGCATGTAGATTTTGGAATAATCCACCAATTTTTTAAAATTAAACACGATCTAAAGATTTGCATCGAAGCGTTTTTTTTTTATAGTGATTTTAATCACTGTCAGATATCATTATACTTGATCCATCTATGCCACTTCACCACTGTGCCGCGACCCCCCTGTGCTGGGTTTTTTTTTTAATGTATATGTGAGATAAAATTTAAATATAGTAAAAATATATTAAAAGATACGTAATACATATATATATGAGTAATTTTTAAATTTATTTTTCTTAAAGATCTTTTTTTTTCTCAACCGACAAAAAAACTGAATAGGCTAAAGACAAAATGGGTGGACTAATCCAACTGCGGAGCCCGAGGCAGGTCCCCTGCTTGCTCTGGTACTGATTTTATTAATCGGAAAAAAAAAAAGTATTTAAGAAAAAATATACCAAAGGGTGGCACATTTTAATTTACCCCGTGGCGACAACATAGCTTAATACGGCTCTGATAACACCTCGTGGTTTATTAACCACAACTATAATAATTGAAGTTGTAAGTGGTTGTTATGTAAAACATACTGTAGCTCGTGTTTAAATTAAGGAACAATATAAAATATACGCGAGCACTTAAGTTACTCGCGCAATAAAATAAATATTACAGTTAAAATTAATTAGAAAATTTATTTGATTGTTAATAAAGAAAATTGAATTAAACATGGACAAAAATACGAGTGTATCAAAAACCATGTCTACAAAGAAAGGTATTAAAAATAAAATAACATATTTAAACAAAATCAAATAATATGGCTAACATCACAGACGGTATTGTAACACATTCATTAATGTTAATCGGAAATTAATGAAAAACACCAGGAGCGATCTGGACACTCGCTCCTTAACGTTGACTAGAAGAAAGAGGAAACACGTACCTCCACACATAAATAAAATTAAGTTAATTTATAATAAAATAAAATAAAAATAATAAGTAAATTATAGCACATTACATAATTATATTTATAAAAGAAAACGATACCCAGTCTCCGAAGATGGTCTGGGTGCTTTGCGCGAAAAGACCTGGCCGTTCGCCCTTGGCAGCTCTACTTATTGTAAATTAATAACAAGAAATATGTGCACTTTAGCACGGTCAATGACAGAAGGAAGATGAAGAGCCAACACCAATCTATTGTAAATTTTAAGAATAAAATGAAATTTTCAAACTTTTTTTTTTCTAGCTTCAGTACGCGAATTATTTAACCATTTGTAAATTTTATTATTTGCGATAGTAATAATATAGTATAATGTATATATTTGTTTATTCTACTTATCTTTGGTCCAGTATAATATTGTATTTTATTTTATTCGTGAATAATTTTATAACATAATATAGCAATATACATTAATATTATTAAATTATTAATATTATATTGTAATATAATTATCTAATAATAATAAGTATAAATAACAGCTGTTATTTTATCACGTGACGTGTTTTTCTTTAACCTTATCACAAATTCCAAGTGCTCTTGAAAAATCAAATAAAAAAAATTAGTATTGCTCAGCTCTTTATTAAACTGAATGTAATTGTTTTTTTTACATTCAAAATTTATCCTTTCGATCTTCTATGTGGTATTTTGGTTAAATATTCCAAATAAAATTATTAAAAAATACGAACAAAAGGTAAGCCTATAATAAATTCAAAATTTGAACCTATTGTAAAATCTGTCTTAACTTATATAGAATAATAATGAATTTTATTCTTACTGGCTAATATCCAAGATTATTATTTTCCAGTAAATTATCCAAATAAATTAAATAAACTGGAACAAATTTTCAATTTATAAACTTGTATTTTAAAGTAAATAAATTTAAAATTTTTAGTTAAAATATAATTTGAAAATTAGAAAATGACTACAGAAGAGTCACAACAGTTTTGTCTAAGATGGCATAATTACCAAAGTTCATTAATGTCAACTTTACCACAACTTCTTAATCATGATGATTTAACTGATGTTACACTATGTGCAGGTTTGAGGACTCTTAAAGCACATAGAGTTGTTTTATCTGCTTGCAGCGATTATTTTAAACAGCTTTTCAAAGCATTGACTAAAGTAAGATTTATCTTAATATAAAATAATTGTAAATTATATTTAAAGATAACTGAAATAATATAAACTTATAGTTTTTTAGTATCATATATATTATTATATCATTATATATTATAGATACAATGTTTACTTGACTATTTTTTTAAATTAATAAACAACACAATTAAAAAAATGTTTGAACAAAATACCAAATCTGTTTTAGGTTATTAAAAAAGTGTAGTTTCTTAGAATTGTTTTTCTTCTATATAAGCAAAATGTAAATAAATTCAATAGTATTCAAAAAAGCTTTTTAATTTAAAAAAAGTTTAATTATTAAACAAGTAGTATTTTATTAATATTAAAAATAAATAAGTCATTTGGAATTTTTGAAATAACTTAATTAACAAATTAATGACTTATAAAATTATAAAAGTTCAAATTTAACTATGTAATTTATAAATATATAGAAGGTATATAAAATATAAATTGTTATTTAATATTAAATTTTTAATGAACTTGTATAGTTAGGGATCAGCAAAATGAAAAACAGGGTTTACTAGATGGAGTTTAAAATTACTTAAATGTAATTTTATAGTTAGTTGTTTTAATGTCTTTTAAAATCAATAATATACAGGCGATCGGCTAACTATGTCTCACATAATATCTTTTAAAATACAATTGTTATGAACAATTTTTTTTTTAGTCATTATGAATCTTTGATGAAGTGTTTCATAAGAAAATTTTAATTTCTACCACCAACCCTTATGCTTAAAACTTGTATCAACTTCATATTTTTAAAAGGCAATCCTATTTTTTTTTTTATACCATTAGATTTAGTTTAATAAAAAAAAATGTTTTGTAAAAGAAATATTTTATTATATTTAATATTAAGTGCTCCACGACTCTAAAGTTTAGAGTTTATTAAGAAAAAATTATAACAGACTCAAACGTTATAGATTTTAATTCGATAAGCGTTACTAGTTTTATAAATAAACATACCAAGCTTACCTTAGTTATTCTGACTACATGCGTTGACACAGTAAACTGGTAGCTTTTATTGCTACATAAAATAATAATGTGACCGTGTTGGAAAACTACTGAATTTTTTCATCCATTATCGTAAATTTTGAAGTAGCGTATCTTGTTTAAAATTTTTTTTTTGATTTTCAAATTTGAAAATCTGAAGTTGATACAAGTTCTAAGTATAAGGGATGATGATAGAAATTTAATTTTTCTTGTGAAACAGCTTATCAAAGATCCATAATGATTTAAAAAAAAAAATTGTTTATAACACTTGTATTTTTAAAGATATTATTTGAGGCATAGTTAGCCGATCACTCTGTATATATAGACGAAAAAAGCCAAAAAATTTTAAATTAAAATTTTTTTTTGTAATAATAAAAATAAAGTAAAACTATTATTAAAAAAAAATTATTTAATAATCTAATCATTGTTTAGGGTACAAGTAGATTGATTGTGATACCTAATTCTGTATTTGATTTTAAATAAATTAGTATTAATTAAAATAAAAGAAATTGATATAAAGTTGAAGGAACTTAGTTCTTAAATTTAATTTTTTTTTATACCATTAAAAACCAATATTTTAGGAATTAGGCGCAAGTCATCACCCTGTAATTGTTTTGCCTGGTGTTGAATTTACTGATCTCTGTGCTCTAGTCACATTTATGTATAGCGGTGAAGTAAATGTGTATGAACATCAACTAGCTAATATGCTTTCTATGGCTGATATGTTACACATAAAAGGCTTAGCAGAATTTTCAAATGTAAGTTTTAGATTGTTTTTAGTTAATAAATATTGATATTCTAAGTTATACAGAGTGATCAGTTATCATTAACTATCAGTTCAGTTATCATTATATATTACATTATTTATCAGCAATTAATGACTTTTTAAAATCATTTCTTATAATTTATAGGGGTTTTTACTTTTTTTCTAAATGGCAATGTACATATTTAAATAGCTTATAAAATAGCAAATGATCTAATTAAGAAAATGACTGATCGATAACAACTATTTAAGTACTTAAGAAGTAATTCTCATTTTTATACCTAGGTGGTAGGAAAAGATGCCCAGGAAACGACTAATGATAAAAATAGCAGCACTCACTCCTCATCTCCAACCAATCACTATGAAATTTTAATAGCTTCCAAAATACTAATCCAAATTTATGAAAAATTGCTTTTTCAAAATTACTTAAAATGTCAGTTAAAAATTAAAAAATCCTATTGTAAATTATTAAAAATTTTAGAAGATCTTATTATCAAAAAATGGTGAAATTTTCAAGTCATCAGTATAAATACATAGATTTCATGGGTATTTTTATGAAATACCGGTATTTTGCAATTTGAATATTTAGACAATTCATGAATATATTTTCTCCTAAAATTTTTTTTTTTTATTTATATACTAGGTAACTTTGAATACTTCAAGCCAAAAATATTTAAAATAAGTAATTAAATGATTTTAAAGAAAGTATTTAAATACTAATACAGATACTTTTCACATGTGTTCCAAATACTTTGATATCTATTTTTTAAATTGATAATCATTTAAAAAAAGGTGTTGAATCTAAAATGTTGAGAATGTTTAGTTTGTACATCATATGATGACTGGAATTTTCAATCAGTTTAATGAAAATTTATGTCAAAGAACAAAGAAATATAGTTTTAAAATTGCAAAAACTATATATAAATTAAATGAAAAAAAATGAAGTTTCATTGAAATTAATTCTAGTATCATTTTATAGTTTTTATTAAGTATAAAATTGTTACTTATTCAACAATATTTAATTCAAAAATGTACTTTGATAAATCTATACCAAAGCAAGTATTGAAATAACTAAGTTTTTTAAAACATTCAATTAATGATCGTCATAAATTCAATACTGTTATTCTAAATGTAATCTTTAATTTAAAAAGATCTAATAAGTTACTATTACTTTATTTACAAAAAACTAATATCTAATTATTTTATAATGTAAATATTGAAGAAAATTTTTTTTATTTTGCTATTAATGTTAATAATTATTTTTTATTAATATTAAAAAATTGGCATTTGTTACATATCAAACGAAAAATACAATTATAATGATAAGAATAGATAAAAAACAACTATTAGAAATACATGTTATTTATATTATGTCAAAAAATCTTAAATCAGATTATGTAAATCCAATTTTTTCGACATGTAAAATTATATTGCTACATTTTAATAATTTAAGTCTTTTTTTCAAGAGTGGTAACTACTTCCAACCTTGAAAAAAAATTTATTGAGTTGAAAACAAAAATAATTTTGAGTAATATTATGTATTGATTTTTTATTCTTAAAAATATTTTAATAAGTACTTTATTAAAATTTGAATTGTAATGTAAAAAAACGAAAATAAAAATTATATTGGTAGTTTTACTATTTACTATACTTATAAATATTAAATAATATAAAGTTATAATAAGTGTAATAATTCTATATAATTCAGATTTGCTAAAAATAAAACATCAGAGTTAATTATAGAATTCATAATGTAAATTATTTTTAAGGTACCTGGATACACAAGTGGAGCTTTTGAAAAATCATCAAGATGGAAAAGATCGCGTGTTGAAGAGCCCGAGTCATTAAGAGTAACTAAGCCTACATTGAGTGAAACTGAAGCTTTTGCAGATTTGGATGTTGCTCAAGATTTAACTAAACGTGTTTCAGAAAGTGAAAACCAAAATAATGCTGTAAATTTAGTAGCAAACATTGAACATAAGCCGTCCACATCAGAAATTAATGTTTCATATGGTGAAGAAGCTCCTACACCCACTGATTTTATTCAAGGTAAAATTTTCCTTTTTTTCAATTAATTGTTTAAAACTATTTAGTCTTTCTAAGTTTTTTTTTTTTAATTCTGTCTATGTCCACTATAATATATGAACTTACAATAAACGTCTCACCTAAATAAATAAGTAATAGGAGGAATATTTCGTGTCCTTAATAATTTAAAATACATCAAGTTAAAATTTATTGAAGAAAATTCATAAAGACGAAATTAATTTCTGTATTTTATAAGTAAAGCTATTTGTGGATTCTTATTCAATCTTTGTATTATTTTAATATTTATTCAATAAGTTTTATATTTTTTTTATTTTATTCTTTGTTTAACCTGCTAAATAATAATGAAAATTTATTAAATTAAATTTCTTAGGGCCAGTTGTTCAGGGTTCACAATCTGATAATGTAAAATCTCGAACACCTGTTTCAAAACTTTATACAATGTGTTTCATATGTGGTAAACAACTTAGTAACCATTACAATTTGCGCGTTCATATGGAGACTCATCAAAATGCACAATACGCTTGTTCAGTCTGTAGTCATGTTTCTAGATCCAGGGATGCTTTACGTAAACATGTTTCTTATAGACATCCAAGAAACAATAATAATAGCACAACAACTGATAATTCATCTACTGTGGACTCCTTGCCGAGTACTAATAAACTACCATCAACTTGACCCAAAGATTTTAATATCCAATATATAATATTGTTATTGTTTATTTATTGTTGTTACCTTTTTAGATTATTTTTTTCTCTTATACCTAGATATAATCATTAATTGTTGACTTGTTACATTGTGTGAGTGTTTGATTGTTGTTATTTTTTCTTTGTTTTCAAAATGTATAAGTCATTATAGACGTGATAATTTTTATGAAAATAGAAAGCAACTATTCTGCACAGACATTTGTGAGGACATAAAGTTTGATTTGTATATTATGCCCCATTATATTTATGAATTAAATCATTTCGGATAGAATCATAAAATATCTGTAGTCTTTAGCAGAAAGTTTTTATTCATTATTACTTTCTTTGATAGATCTTCATTTATTTATTTTACTTAAGATTTTCAGTTTTTAATATTAAATGAGAAATGATAATTAAAAATTATATCATGTGTTATAAAATAATCATATAATTTATTTTGTTAATTTTTGGCTGTTTTTATTATTATAAATTTAAAAGAATATTTACTTATTTCTAAATGCCTTTATTATTTAATGTTTAATAGATTATTTAATATGTTGTATCGTGTATTAAGTTACCAATATCTTTAATTATACTGTTTTAAATCTTAACCAACTATTGATATAAGTTTTTTATTTGGTGGATAGCACAGTAGGCACATTACAATGTCTCCATAATCATAAATGTTATTAACAGTAAATAAAAAAATTATTTATTTCATTCTGTGATAATTTAATTATAATTTGAAATTCAATAATTTATCATAAATAAATTTCACTGTGATAAAGACCCTTTTAAATCGTATTTTAATTAATTTTTTTAAGTTATGAAATATGTGAAGTGGATGCAAGTTTATTTTCAACTCTTAATAAATTACACTGTAGATTTTTCCAATTAGAAAACTGTGATAGTTCGTTTTCTTTTATTTACTATTCATAAATTCTTTTAAAAATATTATCTCAAGTGCCTTTAACTATCATTTAAACACTAGTCATTCTAAATTAGACTTTATAGTGAGAGTTTAAAGAAAAATAATTTTAAAACCATTTCCAGTAATACAATTTAATAAATGCTTTTCTCTTTAGTTAATTTTGATAAATGTATTGTGTGGTGATGTATGGAGACTAATGAAAATATTTATAGTATTATATTACATTATATATATTTTTTTGTTTTAAAAACAAATAATTTTTAATCATCATGTATACAATAAATATCACTTATATTGTTATTTAATATGTATTTTTTTTATTAATCAGCTGTTAAATCAAGTTGATTTAAAAAAAAAAATTTGGTTATATTTTCATAAAAAAAAAATGGTTTCAAAAAGTATCATTAAAATTATTATTTTTAATTAATTACTTTATATAGTCTACTTTATAGTTGAATTTGGATTATAAGAATAAAATAAAATTGATTAATTAGATCTTAGTTTTATGTTTATTAACTTTAACAAGAGTCACTAAAGCATTGTATTCAGCTAATTAGTTTTTTTAAATATTTTTGGTTTTTATTATAAGATAGTTAAAATAAAACAATAAAATTTTCAAAAATATTTGAATTACTTAATAAAATTAAAACCCAACTTTAAATTTTGATTTTTTTGTTAGAAAAAAGTTAATATATTTTTAAACATATTTGAATTATTCTTCCTTATTAATAAAATGATTGAACTAATTCATATAGTAGTATGTTTTATTTAAAATTTGGGCAATTTTTTATTTAAGTTTTGAAATTGTGCTTTGATTATGTTAATCAAAATTTTCAAGATAACATTTTTTACTTGATAGATCACGATGCTGAATTGTAATTATAATAATACGTATTTGATACAAATTACTTATTTTGTTGAATATAGCATCAAGTATTAAATCAAAGCCTTTGAATAATTTAATAAATTATGTAAAATATAGCTATAGTAAATACTTGTATAAATTAGAGTCCAACATTTTATAAAAATCTAAAATAAATAAACTTAATAATAAAACTTTAATACATTTATAATATAAATGTAATACAATTGCTCTTTTGATTCAATTATAACAAATTAATTTTAAAATTACAACATTTTAATAATTTAATGTCTATTGTGTGATAGAAAACTTCTGAAACGATCACATGTTTGTGATCATATCCCACATTATTATTGTAACGCCGACTAGGCTTATATTGTTGACACAGTGACACACGTAATATTACAGGAGGGTAGACTGCATACATAAACACTTTTGTAATTCACGGAAACTGTGTCAAATAATAATTTGCTAAACGACAGTTGACTTTTTACCATCATCGCGACCATTACTCTTGGCTTATATTTAACTTAAATTAGCTACTACCGAAAGAGTGTGTGTCGCCGTCAGCTCTCTGTTGGATTATTATCATCTCTGGGAGTCCAGCAAGTTGTACTATATATTTAATATTTCTTTATTTAATAAATATTTATATCATTTTTAACTAAGAGTGTTATATATATATATATATTGTAGTGCGACCCTTGGTAATTATTCTAAGGGAATATAAATTAAATAGGAAACTTCAGTACCTAAGGTAGATATAGCCTAGCCAGCTATCCTTGGCTGGTCCCTTAGAATACTGCTAACGGGCATTTAGGCTAAATCCCTAAATAGTGACGTAACGATTCCTACCTGAACTCATATTAACATTGACAAAAATTTTCTTTATGAATTTTGTTGATATTATTAAACAACACACTGGGTACAGTAATATTATTTAAGATAACAGTTTAATGTATTTTTACTTATGTTAGTATAGTACAAGGTCAAAGGGACACATTCCTTTTACGATTATGTTGTTTTACTCAATGCAGCCTATTGTATACATGTTTACAGTTTAGTCGTAGTTTCACCGTCTATCGAGTAAAGTGACCCGTTGCCGCTGTACATCTCTTATATTATATGTTTTAACATTTTATATTAAATACTATTATATTACGAATAATTTCTAAATCTTTTAATTACATAACCTATTCCATTCAACAGGTTATGGGCCCAGTACCCAGTACTTAATATTTAGATTTTTTTATTTGTAATATAATTAATCGTGAAATTTAAAAGTGCGTTCGCGTAGTAAGTGCGTCGATCGTGTTAAATATTATTGTAATTTTTTATTGTGTGCAGACAGTGTACAGGAAATTCGTTATCATGGAAAACGAATCTATAAAAATTAACAAACTAAACGGCAGTGAAAATTGGGCAAAATGGAAATTTCAAATGACGGTAATATTAAAATCATATGATGTGTTGTTCTCTGTAATAGATGGAAGTTATGAATATCCAATTCAAATTATAAAACATGATACAGAAACAGACACAGAGGCACAATTGCGTTTAGAACAAGTGCAGCAAAAATGGTTAATGACAGATGCTAAGGCTCAACGTTTTATAGTTATGTCAGTAGATGAGCAGTCATTAGATTATATAATGAACTGTGACACAGCAAAAGGTATGTGGAATAAATTACTGAGTGTATATGAACAAAAGTCTGATACATCAATTACATTGATTCAGCAAAAATTTTATAGTTATGTTATGGATAAAAATGATAATATGGCACAACATATATCAAAATTAGAAAACTTGAGTAAACAATTAAAACAGTTAGGTGAACCAATATCCGATTCAATGCTTATAACCAAAATTCTTATGACCTTGCCAGAAAATTATAAATATTTTTATAGTGCATGGGATTCTATATCATCTGAGAACAAAACATTGTTAAACTTGACATCCCGACTTATGGTAGAGGAAACAAGACAAAGTAATGGCCATGAAATCCAGAAAAATAATGGTGAAAATAGTGCATTTGCGGCGAAAAAATTGTTTAGAACACAAAAACAAAAATATTCAAAATTTGGAAATCAACAAAATAATAATAGAAAACCAGGAATTTGCAATTTTTGTAAGAAACCAGGTCATTGGAAACGTGATTGCTGGATTTTGAAGAAAGAACAAGACGGAAAGAATAAAAATGAATCAAATTCTGGTAATGCACTAATAGGCGTTAATTCAATGGTGAGCAAAATTAGTGATTTTGATAAATGGTATGTGGACTCCGGTGCAAGTGATCACATGACCAGTAGAAGAGAGTGGTTCAGAACTTATGAGTCGTTCAAGATTCAGTTGCCAGTACGTATTGGTGATGGTAAATATATTATGGCTATTGGTAAAGGTAATATATATGTTCAAGCAAAAATTGGCGAAAAATGGGTTGACAGTTATTTGTCAAATGTTTTACATGTACCTGAACTCAAAGTAAATTTGTTTTCATGTGGAGCGTGCCTTGATAAAGGTATAATAATGATAACAGACAAAAATGTTTGTACATTTAAAAGAGGAAATAGTACAGTTGCTGTTGGAATTCGTGAGAATAAATTGTTTTCGATGATTTTTAAAACAAGGATTTCGCAAGAGATAGATCAAGTGAATATTGCTGAAAAAATTCTTACATTACAACAGTGGCATGAAAAACTAGGTCATCAGAATGTTCAATATGTTAGAAATTACCTAAGGCATATGGGTATTCAATTCACAGATATGGAAAACAAATTTTTCTGTGAAGCTTGCATTTATGGTAAACAACACAGAGAACCATTTACACTGAGCAGTACCAAAACAACAAAACCAGGTCAGATAATTCACAGTGATGTTTGTGGACCCATGGAAGAAAATTCTCTTGGTGGTAAAAGATACTTTGTTATATTCAAAGATGATTACTCTAAGTATACATATATATATTTTATGAAACAAAAATCAGAAGTAAAAGAGAAGTTTGAATTATTCTTAAATACAGTGAAAAATCAGTTAAATATATCAGTTCTTACTTTACGAAGTGATTGTGGCTTGGAATATAAGAATGATGAAGTCAAAGCTATTTTGAATAAATTTGGTATAAAACATGAAACCAGTGTACCATATACACCACAGCAAAATGGTAAAGCAGAACGAACAATGCGTACAATAGTAGAAGCAGCTAGAACTATGTTATACAGTAAAAATTTGTCAAAAAATCTTTGGGCTGAAGCGGTAAATACAGCTGTATATGTATTGAATCGTACGTTAAATTCAGGTAACAAAGAAAAAACGCCCTATGAATTATGGTATAATAAAAGTCCCAATATAAGCAATTTTAAAGTATTTGGTAGTGAAGTTTATGTTCATATACCAAAAGAAAAACGTAGAAAATGGGATCAAAAAGGGAGAAAAGGAATATTTGTTGGGTATTCAGAAGAAACTAAAGGATACCGCATATGCTTTGATGGAAAAGAAGTTTCATTAAGCAGAGATGTTATATTCAAAGAATCTATGGAAATAGAAATCAAAATTAGAAAAGAAGATGAAGAAATAAATTCAGAAATGGTGGATGAAAGTGAAGAAAATAACATTAATGATGAGAATAATGTTGAAAGAAAACAAAATATGGATGAACTTGATCAATCAGCAGATCAGACTCATGAGCAATTAAAAATGAGACTTAGAGATAGACAAAATATAGAAAAACCAGTAAGGTATAGAACAGAAACATTTTATTCAATGTGTGATAATCCAGTTACATATGAAGAAGCTATGACACAAGAAAATTCAGAAGATTGGAAAGAAGCAATGGATGAAGAAATGTTGTCATTAAAAAAGAATGAAACCTGGAAATTAGTAAATATACCAACAAATAAAAAAGTACTTAACAATGGCTGGGTATATCGAACCAAACTCAAGAAAAATGGAGAAGTTGATAGATTTAAAGCCAGACTAGTTATAAAAGGCTATGCACAAGTGCATGGAATTGATTTTCAAGAAACTTTTAGTCCAGTTGTAAAGTATGACTCTATACGAGTACTGCTAGCAATAGCAGCAGCCAGAAAATTAAAACTCAGACAATTTGATATTAAAACAGCCTTTTTATATGGTGATCTTGAAGAAGAGATTTACATGAACCAGCCAAAAGGTTATGAAGATGGAACTAAACAAGTTTGCAAACTTCAACGAAGCTTGTATGGATTAAAACAAGCACCCAGGTGCTGGAATACAAAATTTAAAAATTTGTTGTTAAAATTTGATCTAAAAGAAACAAAGGCAGATCCCTGTGTATTTGTAAGTAATAAAAATGAACAATTAATGATTGTAGCTATTTTTGTAGATGATGGGATTATAGCAGCAACAAATGATGAGCAGGTGGACATGATGGTGAAGTACCTGATGAGCAACTTTGAGACAAAATCAGGTGAACTTAATCATTTTCTGGGTATTGAAATTGATCAGAGATCAGATGGGTCAATATTTATACATCAGTCATTATACTGTCAACGCGTTTTGGAGAGATTCAATATGGCTGAATCCAACGCCCTATGCATTCCTGCAGATCCACAACACTCATTAGATGCAAATTTATCTGAATCATTACAAGCAGGGGAAG